CATCATCATCATCATCATCATCATCATCATCATCATCATCATCATCATCATCATCATCATCATCATCATCATCATCATCATCATCATCATTATTACTTTTTATCATTATTATTGGTATAACTTATCGTGATTGTGGTAAATGTGATATTTGCAATTTAAAGTAGTATACACATTTAATAGATAATAGAAATTTAGTCAAAATAGTGCTTCTTTTCTTATCGGTTCCTCGACTAAGTGGATTGGTGGGGTGGAAAGTTGGATAGAGACGAAGAAAAAAGAAAAGAAGTACTGGGTGGATATTAAATGAATTTCTTTAGGAAAAATAAAATGATAAAAAGTAGATTAAATCTCGATTTTGCTAGTCAAAGCAATTATTGCACCGTTCATAGGTCATACGATTAACTCCGTTGTAAAAATTAAAAAAATTTTTAATATGGAATCATTTAACTGATGCTTAATTTTTATATTTAAAATAAATTTTTTTATTAATTTAGTTATATAATTGTAATTAATATTAAAATGACAACAGTTTTGATAATTGTTGAATAATAAATGATGTAACAGTGCAATAAATGCACTACTAATGAAAATGAGTCTAACCATAAGAGAGAACTCAAGTCTAATTGGCTAGAACGGCCAGGTATTACTTTTGTTTGATATAATTTATGATACATGTATTTTCTTTATTAGTAGAAAGGACCACATCTAATAATTCAATGCGTAACAAAGCAAAAGAACGAAATGCGTCGAGTCAGAATAGGGATAGAGTGCTAAAAAATTGACGTAGACATTTGATTTTTTTTTAATTCACGGTCGATTGTGAATATAAATGTTTTCATTATAAATTTGGTTTTCATCATAAATTTAAACATTTAAGTCATAAAGATCCTACTCTGGGAACTTCGAGAGCATCAAAAGTGGGGGTTTATCCGTTCTCCTCAATGATGCACAGCAAGTTATTTCATGAATTTTTTACAAATATTTTGTACATCTCTCCTGAATCATAAGACATTACATACTTTGCAGCCTGTTCGACGACACTCGCGTTTACGTAGTCTCCTTCCGTTTGAGATACGGTCATCGAAGTCAAGCTGCACATAGACATCGAAATATCGGTTGTTTCCGTAGTTAAAGATGGACCTAAAAATAATGCAAAAAATAAAAAAATAGTTTAAATATATTTTCCTTTTTTGTACTTTTTCTTCGTTTAATTTTGGTTGAAATGTAAAGATTTTAGCACTGTAAAAGTATCCTTTTCGAATATAATGTTCGCTTTATTGTGCAATTCTATGTGATGAAACATGTCACTGTGTGTTTCTTGAATTTTAAATGCAAAACAATGGTATCATATATCAATAATAAATATCGCTTCGTATACTAAGTAAGTTATTTTCTACTCATTCATGAATTACAACTTTGAATGCAATTCTTTCCGAAGAAGCGAGCGAACTTTCCTTAATAACTCTCAATTAAGTGTGTCGTAGTATCAAATTTTAAAGTAAGAGCTAAGCGAATGACTATTCTACTATTCCTCGCAATTACGAAGGTATACCCGTAAAAGTATGATCGACTTCAATACTTATTTGTGGACAAATAATTTTCTTCTTTTTTATTGTTCGTTGTATTATTATTGTTACTATGTATATATGCATGGGTGTATCATGATTATTATTTTTGACTGTCAGCTTTAAGTGATCGTACTTCCACGATAGTAATAAGGAACTGGTATATGTACACACCGTATCAAACTAGAAAATATTACATTCGTGAATTTCAGTTACGGATGCATTGTTCATATTTATAATTGTTGGTGCGCTAACTGAGCGAAAGAACTTTTTCAAATGGAAAAATGGAGAAAATTGAATAAACTTTACCAAACAATGAACACAGTATGCGCGTCGGATAAAATAATGTAAAAAACGAAAAACTATGAATCTATTGGTGTGAAACATGTTTCTAATAGAAATATTGCGTGCATCGTGATGTGAAATTGTAACTGGAAAGAGTTTCAAGTATTTCTTAGAAAATATAAATGTATAAGTAGGTATATATAAAATTTTAAAAATATAATAAAGATTTTTGCAATAATTTTTTGATTATTATTGTATATTATAGAATATTGAAGAAATTCTAAAATAATTAGCTTAATGTATTAAAGCTGAATTAAAAGCAATTAAAAAGCAGATTTGCTATTCGTTGTATCACTTTTTTTTTCTTGCAGATTACGCCGAGTACGACGATCAACTGACCTTTGTGATTCTTAATGCCATGCCTCTGGATAGTGGGCTCTAACATACAGAGTGGGAGAATAAGTAACTGTTCAGTGCAAGATAGGCTTTCGCAGTGAATGATTTTGCATACATATGTTTTTATTAACTTCATTATAACTATCGTTATATTAAAATATATTAAATATAACATTGATGTTTCTATATATATATATAATATAGATTCTATAAATGAGCCGTTTATTTCGAAAGTAGTCTAACTCCATTTATGCTCGAATCGAAATATTGAAGGGTTTGCGCTTCAATGCAATTAAAAATATACGTACAAGATATTAACGAGTCATACTGTTTAAGTGTATCTAAGGGTGTGAAATTTATAGTTCCTATTAAAATAGTGGCAATTATTAAGTGAATAATATGCATTTCTTTAACACGAATGGAATTAAGCCACTTTTAAAATTAACAATTTGATTTGTTATAAAATTTCGAAAGGACCAAATTCCATTCAACATAATTTAAGATGTTTCAAATTGAAAAAGACAATACTCTATTCATTTTACATATCTTTAAAACACTTCAGAAACATAATTTATACGATTCAAAACATTTTTTAACTACATAACGTACAAAATTAAAAATATAACCTTCAAAACAATTTGCTACTCATCTACATTTTTTATGTGTGAAAAAGATTTGAAGAAATCATGATGTTCCGGTGGTATATAGGTGGCATATAGGTGGTATTATAATAGGTCAATAAAGTATGTCCTTGAATTTTGCTGTTATAGTTTGTCTGATATTTTTATATAATAATGTCAATACAATATTTTCGAACTTTCTTGGTCTACCCTGGCGTGGTAATAAATTCAGGAGTTTAAAATTTTCATTCTCATTTATTGATGTCTTATAGAAAATTTTATACGGTTCATTTATGACAAAATGCATCCAATATATTTTTAACCAGTTTATTAATTTTTCATCAGAATTCTTTACCTTTTTAAAAATTGCGTCTTTTAATAATTTTGTTTATAAAAGTCTTCTTTTCTCATTTCATGTATGTTACTGTAAAAGTATTACCTTGCCGACACTTTTTAATATTATTGTAAGAATCTTGGGGAACGAATAGTAAATTATTTTTTTTTAATGACATTTCTACGATGCTAAAATCTCTATCATCTGGTAAAAACGAATGTCTCGATATTACCAAATTTGTGATCTATGATTGCCACATTATTTTCCAAAGTTTGGACAATTTTTAACCACATTAAAGCTACTTTAATGTTTTTATTTTGTCCTGCACACATGTCACTGCAAGCTATAATGCGTCTTTCACTTTTTAAATTTTTAACATGTTTTAGGATGCATGAAGCAATTTCTTGAGCACCTTTGGAAGCAACAGTTTTATCCAAAACGTACATGTGAACATAATGGTTATGAAAACTGTGAATATCTAAATTTAGAACATATATATTGGTCAGAATTATCGTATTTACTCAGAATATAAGCAATCTCAAATATTTTATTGATACATTACATGAAGTTGTACAATAACCACGTGCAACCGGAAAATAATAATTGAAAAATGGAGTTAGGCCAATTTCCAAATAAACGGCTCAAATAGTATCTGTATAAAATTTACAATGAAAACATCTGATGATGGTTTGCTTGGATGCGATTAGGAAGATATACATCAATGAATCAAGATAATTTTTAGAAATTGTAATTACCTTCTTTCCTTATGATCCCTTCTTGTCTTGGGACAGTTAGTCTGTCCATGGCTTCCTGAGTGTCTGCTACACCATCTTCACCAATTTTTCTTAGGAACATCTGACGTAATAAGATTAAAAAAGAAATAAGAGATTGTAATAATACATACTATAGGATGAAAATGTCAAATGAATAATCGTTGTTTAAATAGTCCTCACTTACTTGAAGTTCGCTGTCTTTTTCCAAAAGCTGTTTACGAAACTTTTGATTAGCTATTGTAGCTTCTTTCAATCGTTCCTCTAGCTCGCTAACCGTGGAGTCCCTTCTTGCCTTGGATACTGGCCTCAAAGTTGGTCTCATTCGCTTATCGATCGCACCCTGCGGATTTCTTCGCAACTCTATCAGCTAGTTCATAAAGAAAAATTTAAGAATCGAATTTATTGGTAATAAAGAGAAATTGTCAAACTGGTACCGAAAAAAAGAAGTTAAAATAACAAAAAGTTACCTTGGGCACGAAAACGAGACAGAGGGTAGCTGTACTGCAGAATATGATAAAAACGGCTAGCATAATGAACATAGCGTCTTGCTTATCAGCAAGAACAAAACTTATGGCTGCGCCGGTAACGCACATTATCACAACGTTGTAAACGCTCATGCCGACATATTTGCTATCGTTCAATGCTGGTATACTGACATGTCGTGTCTCCCACGCGAGGAACGCACCGAAAATCTGAGAAAAAGTCAAATTTTCTCGAATGTATTTTTATTATTTTTCTTGTTTTTTAACGTAAAATATAAAAAAAGCTATTATTAGACTAACCATTAGAAGGCCTTTATAAGCATATATACAACCCATGTAGACGGTCATTCGGTTGCTCTGGCAATACTCGTTTTCTGGTATAATGATGATATCTTCGCTCGAGGGATGTAACTGCGAGAAGAAGGAAGTAGAGAGAAACATTTTATAAGTATGATCGTTGAGTGTAATCGGCCGAGCGCGAGCTTTTCAAGCAGTCGAGGGCTCTGTGCCAAAACGATAGGTATCCACTCGTCAGAAAAAAAGGAGGGGAAAAAAGATAGTGAGACTTAAAGAGAGGTAAGAGCTTCGGGAATTATTTCCGATAACAACATTGAGTGTGGTCCGGAGGGCCGATTGTTGGCAAAACGCTACCGATGATTGCTTTTTTTCTTCTCTACCCAACTTCCTACCATCCCACAACTACTCGACTTCTTGTATCCCTCACTACCACCATCTCTTCTCTTGCTTTTTCATTATCTTGCTCAAACGTGAAACTTCTCTTTCTCCCTATCTGTCTCGAAAGAGAAAGAGAATGAGTGAACTCGACCTTTTTAGGATATCTCTTTTTTTTATTAGGTACATAGGTACTTCGTCAAATGAAACCGTTTTTTCCTTTCTCTTATTAAATTTCTTTTTCTTTTTGTATCCCAAAAGAAAATGCGAGATACTTGCAATTACATAAAATTACAATTATATTGCTCACATTATCGCTCGTATACGTGCATAGTTTCCTATCATATTTATTAAAATATTGTGTGAATGTGGATATTAAATATAATTATAATATAAATAATAATAATAATATTAATAGGATTATTAGTAATGTAAAATGTAATGTATAATAGGATAATCTAATATAGCTGTAATTTAACAACTTTAATTTAAATATTATAAACAGGATAAATATATTTAAATTACAGAATTGAATTAATTTACAGAATTTTAATATTATTCTAAATATATAAGCACTGATATTCGGAACCTTTGAAAAAGTATTTCCTTTCTCGTTTTTATAAAGGATGAGCCAGAATTTAGAATAAAATTTTTACCAAGTGAGGAAACAATTAATTTTTATACGTACGAATAAATATATTATTTATTAATTCATCGGATAGTACACAGGACGAAATGATTATTGCAATAGGAAATACGCATTTCTTGCTTAGGAAAAACTTGCGCGAACATTAATGAAATGTTCTCCGCGAGCGCACAGTCGATATTCTGAAGAGCCTTTTCCTAGCGAGTGAGCTTGAGTAAACGAGATTCCGAGAAGCACACCCTCTGAACCGTTCAAAGACGCTGCTCGATTTACTTTTAGATTTTTTTTGCTCTTTTCTTCTTTTTTAAGGGAAACTTGTATTCGTTTGTTCGCACAGATGAAAAATACGAGAATATTTGGCCATTGAAAGATAAAAAGTATGATAAAACATAAAGAGGAATAATATGTTATTCTGTAAAATAATATTTTCTCTTTATTTTTATTTTTTTCTCTTTATTTTTATGTTATTTCAATATCAATTCAATTTCATAGAATCAATAGAAAGATAATAATTAACCAAATCGGAAACAATTTTATTTTCGTTTTGTTTGAAATAGTTTTGTTGGAAAATATTACTGTTTCTTTTTTTGCGAAATAAAGAATTAATATGTTTATCAATAAAACAAGTGCAGTTTAGATAAAAGTTCGTTTTTCGTTCGAAAACAAAGAAGCAAGAAACTTACGTAAGGTTCCATCTGTTTAGTTTCTCGATAAAATGGATCAGCGATCTGCCATGTAGTCATGATCCCGAGGTCGATAAATAGGAGTACGCCGACCACCATGAAGAGCTGATAATCTTTTATAACCTAGATACAATGGAGATCGTTGGTATGAAAAGCAGATAAAGGAAGCAGATATTCGCGAAAGAATCCTTTTTGTTGAGCTATCTTATCCATGACAAGGAAACTTGTATTTTTTAGAAAAAAAAAATAAACACTTTTATGGAGAGCCAACGTCTTCAAATTAAAGTAATAACGAAAAGAAAAAAAATATCATATTCTTTCTGCATACCACGAAAATCGAATGGTACCCCTATAAATAGCATTAGTGCAGCTAGTAAGTATTACTCACCTTTTTATTTAACTTCACATCGGTAAATATCGAATGCACTCGCCAAGTTTTAGAGAACATGGAGCCGAAAGCTAATGAAAATCCAGCCATCAAAAGCCATGCCCTTGCAGTACAAATATACGGGAACGCTGTCACGCTCGACAATTGTGAGTCTAATCCGAGAAAAATGACGCTACTGTATGTGAACATACACCCGATGATGATAAGGTTGTTCAAATGTGGCGATGACATTTTTATGTACCTGAAAATAAAAATAAATACATTAATTATGTTTTTATTTTTTATCTTCTTTATTGTGTTAAAACAAAATTCAATAACAACCGAAATTTTAATAATATTTTTCATAACTAATAGGTAATTTTTAAATTTATTTTTTAAAGGATCTCTATTATTCTTTTTTTTTTTATTAAATTCATCAATTTTATTCCTCTTTTTTCATTTCTAAAAATCCATCGCAACGCTTTGCCCTCTAGATCACGCTTAAAATTTTAATTAACTCCACTGAATAATTAACCGCATTTTTTTCTACATTCTTGTCAGGTTAATCCACTAAAAAGTCATTACGAATGATGCTATGTTTCAAACTGGGCGACCCTGTGCAATCTATCTCTCCAACACTTTTTCATCTCTTTCAAATGAAATCTCTAGTTTTTAATTAAAACTAAATCATAAAAGCAGGTAGCGGTGGATAGCGGTTGCCGATACTGCTACTATTTACCATCTCAATTTTTCTACAAAATCTCGCTCGTAGAAATTCATTTCGTTGTTAGCTCAAAATTGCTCGAAAGAGACCATCTAGAGGTTAATCTAGTAGAAGCAACAACGATCGAGTCATTGAAAACTTTTAACTTGTTCTTCTCGCCAAAGAACATCAATGGCTCCTTTTATCGTTTTTCACTCTTCACATTTAACACGATAGAACAAAAGTAATTTACGGTTGTCACTTATACAGAAATTGCAAGTGTGTAAAGATTGATATGTTACAAATAGGGAAATAAGTGTTCACTAAAAAGAAAGATGATACTGCTAAGGAAACAAAGAGAACAAATGCTTGTAATTTAATTATACCTTTGATTTCTATATCTTATATTTATGGCAAGGAAAACGACCGCCATGATGATGCCAACACTTGCAATGGATGCCAATACTGCGTAAATTGTAATATTCACGGTTGAATGTTCAATGATGTGAAGGGTTCGATCCTTCGGTGGTGATTTGCCTCTCCAAACTAAAGAGTCTCCTTTACTCAGGTCTAAAGTGTCTGTCATTCCATCGTATTCGCCAACTTTAACTTCGCTACCACCTAAAATCAACAATTTCATTGTTTTCAAATAATAACAAATAATAATAAACATTCTATTTCTTTATCATTTTAAATTTATTTATTGTATATCATACAAAGTGTACATATAATATAAATCAAAATATATATGTGAACATTGCATAAAGATATTAATGAATTTTGAAAAATGTTTAAAATCTTGTGACAAACCAACAAATTCTAACATTTTTTTATTTAAATATAAAATAGTGTATAATAAAGAAATTAATAAATAACTTTGCTTGAATTATTTTTTATTCGTATAATTTACAATTTAAACACGACTCGATTTTTCTGTGGTCGTTAAATCAACCGTTGAATAAATATTTGCAATGTCGGTTTTAAGTGCGTTTGGTATGATTAGAGAAAATGGTATATGATTCGAAGAAAAAGCATCGCTAGTAGTTGGAAAGTGACAAAATTCGGTATTCGACTTTCCGTCCACGACAAAAGATATAGAAGAGGATCTTCGTGATTGATTATACGATCAGCCGTCATCGATTTATCCAAAGTAATTCCCCCAAACCACTAGTTTTTCTCGATTTACCCTCTTTCTCTTATTCTTCATTTTCTTCAGCTCTCTTTGCACCATCAGAAAGAGAAAGAGCGAGAACGAGTGTGTGTGTGTGTGTGTGTGTGTGTGTGTGTGTGTGATTATACGATATAATACTGAAACAACATCTTTATGAAGGAAGGAGAGAGAGACAACATAGAATCCACAAAATCATGATTCATCTTGAAGTAAGCGAAGATTTAATAAAATCCGATTATCATTCTTTCTAACGGAGACAGATTTACTGTACGTCGCTGCGTACATTTACATTTTCGCAAAGAAAGAGTAAACACAATATTTTATCGTAGATTTTACTGTTTATTATTTTTTCATCTTTGTGTTAGCTATTTGATTCTTGTCTTTCTATAAGAGCGAATAGAATTTTCATATTTTTAATAAAATTGAACTAACTCTTATCATTTTCTATAAAATAATAATTAGTTATGTATTTGAGAATTTTGATGGTGTTTGAAATAAATATGTGATCTTATTATTAGTTTTATTGAAAAAATTATTAAACATAAAGGATATATTTAAAGTATGCTTCTAATATATATCTGATTCTCTTATTTTTGACATGATATTCTTGTATTGTTTACTCTATGCATGAAAATGAGAGCAAGATAATAGATTAAGCAGAGAAGAAGTTCTCTAGGTAATAATAAACCTAAAAAGAGGTGATAAAACAAGGGAAGACGAAATAGAGAATGAGGTACTAAGGTTCAGAGGAGAAAAGATAAAGGAGGAGATGTGGTAGATACGTAATAAGGTGTAGAAAGGAGAAGGTTGGGTGGAGATGTGGAGGACAGATTTGGTGGTGTCGCTGGTGAAGAAAGGAGAGGGCAAGAAAGTGGAGGAGTACAGATAGATCATGCTGATGTTGGGAAGATATAAGATTAACGTAGAAGTCCTGAAGAGAAGGTTAGAGTGGCAGGTCGAGGGAAAAAGACATATCCCCCCAGAACCAGACAGGTTTCAAAAAGGGGATGGGCACTATTACCAACCTTTTCGTGCTTAACTTCCTGTTGCACAGAAATCTAGGTAAAAGGAAAGAGAAGCTGGTAGCCCTGTTCATGGACTTCAAAGCTGCGCTTGATTCGGTGAACAGGAGGGTACTGTAGAAAGCACTGAAGGAGAAGGGAATGGACAGTTCTTTGGTTAAAAGGATAAAGGAGTGCTTCACTGAAACGAAGGTCAGATAAGAATGGGATGATAGAAATGAGAGGAGTTTTGAATGGGAAGGGGCTTAAGATTGCGTCAAGGTTGTGTCAGGGTTGCAAATTTTGTAAGTATGTGAGCGTGTACGGATGTATGTATTGTGTTTGCAGCCCTATGTGTGGTCGTATAAATTAATACTTTTCTGTAAGTATGCGTATGTGTGTGTATGGGATTAGGTGTAGTAAACGGGGAGAAATTTTTCCTTGTTCGCCGAGGGAGTTTCAGGACGTGTCAGTGCTCAAACCTGGGAAACTAGTCCAAACCAGTCCCCCTCTGAAACTGTAGATTTAATCAACAGGTAGTTTTTAATCGGTAGGTGGTTCGATCTGGGACCGATTCGACCTGGACTCTGTCTTGGACTTTGTTCTTTTAAGGTTCTGTTTGGGTCAGGATCATTTAGTTCCGAATCCGGCACTACCCCAGGTAACGGGCCTAGGGATGTCTTTAGAAGATTTTCTTCCTGTCGTAAAAAAAGAAAAAAAAAAGAGTTGCAAACTTGTATTCGCGTAGGTAGGTAACATTTTGAACAGCACATTTAGGTAGTTTTACAATTTATATTATAACTTTCTTATAAGTTTTTAAGTGACCTATGTTTAAAGAATCATTTTATCTTATTTTTATGCTTAGAATACGCTCACAACATATGTAAAGATAAACATCTGACACCTTTTATATGCATATGTTACGGTCAATGTATATATTCCGGGCATATTGTATAGTATGTTCAATTGAATAGAACATTCTTTTGTGGGCATAATACATAAGTAGGAGGTAATATAGAAAAAGAAACGAATTTAATTATTAATAATTAAAGATATATTCTGTTATTATGTTACTACAAAGAGCAGCGTGATACTCTTCTTTTATAAGTTTAGCTCAGTGGTTTCCAAACTTTTTTGTTCTATTGCTCCCTTCCTGAAAAAATATTGCTTATCGCCCCCTTGAAAATGAATTTTTTAATTTTGTTGATTGTTGACCTTTTTTTTTGTTTTTAGTATCTGAGAAAAACTATTTGAATAAGAAACAAAGAAGCCTAAATAAAAGAATTTCTTTCTATTATTTTATTACTATTGACACAGTATCGATATACCGGCATTGTTGTGCCGGTTGACATGCTTCGTTGACATTTTTTTCTTTTTAGTAGTTTATTTCCCCCACCCCCAAAGTTCACCGCTTCATTGCCCACCAGTGGGCGATATCGCCCACTTTGGAAACCACTGGTTTAGCTATTCTTCTTTCTAACAAGGGGACGGTCAGATCAACCTGCCTTCGATTTTTTTCAAATTTTAAACGACTGGTCTTTCTTCACCCAATTTCAACGCATATTGTATCATATCGCAAAATATTTACGCAGAAAACTGATGATTGCAATATCAAATGAATTTTTATTTCGTCTTCACAGAAAGCAATTTCACATCTGATATTGATGTTAGGTTTAGTAGATATTAATTGTAAATAAAAAAGATACAAGTATAATTATTTATATTTAAAGATATATTCTGTTATTCTGTTATAATGAACATCAGCGTGATGTTAGGACAAATTACACTGACTGGCTCCTCTACCGTCGTTGAAAACATTAAACTTTTCTCTGTCGAGATAAGATATAGATCGATATCGGCGACATCAGGGATAGAGACAGCACCGCTAACCATAGATTACTACACTCCTGCAGCAAAAGGAATAAGAATCTATGTAATATTTCTATCCCCGTTTTTTTGCAAACAGCTGAATATTTATGCCATGTTTAAAAGCACAATGAATATTCTCATGGACTCCTACAAGTGTGCAGAATTTGAAACAAATCGGAGAGGGATCGATTTGACAGTCTCCTTGTAAGATCACTTCGCTCTTTCCTCTCGTTCTTTAACTTACTCCATTGAAGCACATTATATAGATTGATTAAAACCCTCTGAGTATTCTATAAAATAACTAGGTACTCTATGAAATATATGCTCATTATATACATTGCCTGGAATATATACATTGATCGAAACATATACAAGAATAAACAAATCAAAGAGAGAAATAGAAAAAAAAATAATATAAGGAAGGAGAGAGAAGGAGAGGGAAGAATTCACTCACTTTGAAACTGCTTTAATAAGATGTAAGCCTTTCTCTCGTTTTCGGTGAAATGCACGGGTCCCTGCGAATAGAGAAAATATTCTTTCAATTATTTTAAAACGATAAACAAATAACTGCTTTTGATCTGATTATTTTGTGAACGTAGCCACGAGGAATTCCTTGTAACGAAAGATGATATTTATATGTAAAATATAAGAAAGATCCTTTTATAAGAATTTTTTCAAATAAATATTTCACGTAAAGATTTAAGTGTGTATAAACGAAAAAATTGTGGATAAGTCAATTGTAATATTTTACTTCCATGTCTACTTTTAAAAAGAGATTAACGATCAATCCAAGATGATGGGTATATGAAAAGCATTATTGAGATCTTTTTGTTTCTAATTTTTTGGACATTTCTGCTTGACAAGTTCTAAAAGTAGTTTTCCTTTGCGTATTTTGCTTTTGAATCGATATTCGTATTGCAGAGTAAATTTGAAATTACGATATAGAAGAGAGAATCGTAACGATGGATACCATGTGGTCACGTACGTTTTGGTGTGAGAGAGGTTACGTTGTTTCAGGGACGACGTACACTCACGGCAGTATGGATTCAATTAACGGTACAGCACGATAACGTTGTTTACTACTTGCTGAGCCAAAAGGTCTCGTGACTACATTATGTACTAATGTGTAAAAGGAAAGTGAAGAGAGAGAGAGAGAGAGAGTGTATGTTATTTCAAAATTAAATGAACTAAGCTAAATGTCAGTAGCATCGTGCATTACATGAATGCGTATGTAATATGTGTCACGTGAGTTAGATTTATACGATTTCAATGCGTCTGTGTTATCTGTCTTCAAAACGAGAAACCCATTTCAATGAATTATTATTCTGCAAACAATTTCTCAACATTTTGAATTTTGAATACGTTTGGACGATTTTTTATCAAGGAATGTGTTCATTATCCGAATAATTGATTAAAATTTGTATATCATACATGTCTACTTGCATTTTATGTACTACTGTATGCATTGATATAAATATATTATTAATTTTCTTCCGAATATGCTTATACATTAAATTGAGAGAAGCATCAATTCCGTTTCGTGGTGATGAGATAATTAATTTTTTTCTTCTTAAGATTTTTCGATTAACCGTAATATTTGTGTATTACAATTTTTCCAGTTTATTAGTACAATGAATCGAATTGCTGTATGGTGCACGATACAAACTACATTCTATTTGGTTATCTGTTCTGACAAATACGTAGGTAAATAATATTGTCTGTCGTCGCATCATCATTTGGAATTGAAAATTCACAGGGGAACTCATCATGCAGACATTCTTCAATAAAAGTATTTGCTAATTTGTTCATTGATCTTCGTCAGCACGTCCCCATAAATATCATAAATGGTTTATTTGGGAAAACAGACGATAATATATACTTCTGAAGATTCGCTATAGTTAATTTTTTTACTCGAAAGAGGTACAAAAAAACGAAGAAGAATGAGATTATTTTGAATAAGTTCCTTACATTTTAATTATTTCTTCTTTCTTCTTGGACAGTAAAAAAAACCAAGATTTATAAAAAAAATTTGAGAGAGAAAAAACAAACTTATCTGATTATATTGCAATGCATATCTTATCGTCAGTTGATAATTATTGCATTTTTCATTGCCAATGGGGACATAAGTTATTTGTTTTTATAAAACTTTCAAATCCACTTTATTGTTTGATAAATTAATCGGTTATGTTAAAAATACTTTGAAATGATATTTAATAAGATTATTTTCGAAAATCTAATCCATATTCAAACAAGGATTTACGAAACATGATGTTAAATATTTGCGATAAGATGGTATTGGATAGGAAACTTCTAAAATAATGCTATAAAGTTGACAAATAAAAAGTTTTTATAGAAATAAATTGACAAAATTGTGTAACAGAGGTTATAAAGGATTTTCATATTAATTGATCCCATTATTATTATATTGATAATTAGACAATTTTAAGGTGGACACTTAGTAACGCCTAGTATAATCCTAATCGATGGTGTATGTATCAAACTATACAAACTTACCTGAGGAAGCTACTTACCGTTACACCTATAAAGCTTGTGTTCTTGAGAGCCTCGAGGAATAGCTTCTCCCAAAGTTTATCTCTGTATTTGAAATCAGATATAGTCTGATTCTGATGATAATGTCGTATTCTACGTGCTGCACGTTGAATAGCCAACGCTACCGCCCAAATTCCATCATATGTGTATCCGTGAAATCTCGAATACTCCTTTCCCCTTCTCGAATCATACTCGGCTTGATACTGATCAGGTGTCTGAAAAAAAAGAAAAGTAAAACTCTCATGTATACTGTTCTATTTTTTTTACATTTTATAAAATGCAAGAAAGCACTATATAAACAATGAGCAAAGTTAGATTTTCGGGGTATCGAATAGCGGTTTAGAATTAAGATTTCTCTTGGGAAAAGTGGTAGTTAGCATAAGATTAAAACAGATTTACTTACGAATAATCGGCTTCTATATATTTTTGAACAGTTAATCTATAGTATCAGGTGCATAATTAATAGTAGAAATATAGTATCGGTAACTGTGGGTGAACTCAAAACTAATAACTTTTATTTCGATCTGTTTATATTATAATCTCTTGCTCTTTTAATTTTTGTAATTAGATTGATACCTGTTAAATCATTTGCATCATAAGGAAAAATATAAAATAATGATCTTATTACCAATTTTTCTTTTATTACATTTTAATAAGAAAATTTTTTAAAGTAAATAATACTTAATATTTTAGTTATTTGTATATATATTCCATGTCTATCATATAAAAACTCAGTGCTTTGTAAAAATAAAAAAAAGTAATAAAGAAAGAATTGTTAAAGCAAATGTACTTTTGATTTTTACAAACTAATTTTATCGAAATAATACGAAAAATCTGGGGCTACAAATAAGATAATACAAAAGATTTGGGACTACAAATAAGTGTGGAAAAAACCAAATATATGGTAACCGATAGAGTTCAGGATAGGCCTAGTACTGGAACTTTGGTCGTCCAGGATAAAATTTCTGAACGGGTCAGCAACTTTAGGTATTTAGGATCGATCATAAACTAGACGAACGAAATTAACGAAGAACTTAAGAAAAGAATCAATCTAGGCAATTCATGTTTCTATTCGGTTAACAAATTATTCAGCTTGCGGTTGCTGTCTAAGCGATTAAAAATCAGGATATACAGGACAATCATCCTGCCGGTAGTTCTTTATGGTAGCGAATCGTGGTCGCTTACGTTACGGGACGAAAAGAAATTTAGGGTTTTCGAAAACAAAGTTTTTCGTAAAATCTTCGGTGAAAAATGCGATGAGGAAACGGGCGAATGGAGAAAACTCCATAAGGTTGAAGTACATCGATTGTACAATCAACCGGACATTATCAACGTCGTAAAATCACGCCGAGTAAGATGGGCTGGTCACGTGGCGCGCATGGGGGAGGATCGAACGGCGCACAAAATATTGGTCGGTATACCAAACAGGAAAAGACCACTAGGTAGACCGAGACGTAGATGGTAGGATAATATTAGAAGGGACCTGAAAGAAATAGGATACGAAGACCGCTAATGGAAGGATCGCGCTCAGGGACGGGAACAATGGCGCAATTTGGTATTTGCGGCAATGAGCTTTCGAGTTCCTAATACCAGTTAATAATAATAATAATAATATACCTGGGTCAATACATGTTTTTGGACATATTTTATAAAAACATTAAAAAATCATATTTAATAGATATATTTTGATCTTTATGAATCAAACATATTTGATGAAGAAGCAAAATAAAAACTTGCCAGTACTTTATTTGCTTTTGTATGGAGTTTGTCAGCTGCTTCTAATGTATTCTACGGTGTTGTCTAATTCTTTTTCACTGATGTATCTTGTAATCATTTTTTTTTGTAAAATATTACAGACAATACAATTATTATATTCTATGTATTTCATAATTATTAATTATAATATTTGCGAAATAAAGAATTTAATACTAGTTTTTCAATAAAATATAAACATTTTTAAATAGAAAAGATATAACACGTTTTGTAAAAAAAATACATCATACTTACTATTATATTTTCAATAAAAATAATACAACTTACTGTAGAAAAGTAGAAAATATAACATGTGTGCAGATCACACGTGTTAGAAGTGAAACCTTCTTAAAACCAAGCCTCGAGAGAATGAGTCAAATGCAGAGTATCAGGAGTAAGATAATTGTAGGATTTACGAGAGAGCAAAAGGAGTTAAATCGAAGAAGTTAAGTCGAGGGAGTTTAAGTCGAGGGAGTTAATTCGAGGGAGTTTAAGTCGATACGAGAGGTGAGAGGGAACGTAAGCTAAGTGGATGAGAGGTGAGATCTTTCCATTGTATTCATTTCACGTTAACGATAATTTGCCCGCGTGGCAATGCCACGTGGTTGATCCTCATTATTATAATCTAATAACATCCAGGGTTTTTATGCCGCAAGGCTTTTTTCTGACGAGCCAATAAAGCATTGCATCTTTGATTAGCTCAACCACGTATTTGATTAATTTTGTTATAACCCTTCTTTCCTCATCTCTAGCAACTATTTGCCAGAGGACTCCTAATCGAGAAATCTAGGCCATAACAGATATTATTATCACGATTTAATTATTAATCTATAAAATGATAAGTTAAATATCGTATGATATACTAATTAATATACGTATCTGTAATGTAAATCCTTTATTCATAAATCATTTTTGTATAATTTTTCTCTTTTTCTTTTTCCCTTTTTAATTTTTTTTTCGTGTTGAATCGACTTTCGATAAATCAACGAATGAAGAAAGAAAAAATAATAATTTATGTATATAACTATTACGTGTTAACGATTTTCTGGAGCTACCACTTCGAATTCGTTTTGAGTTTCTAAAGAAACGATATACGTGGTATGTAACTTTACTCAACTGCACGGATGTACGTATGCGTAATTTCTACATATAAATACACATACATACATACATACATACATATATATATATATATATATATATATATATATATATA